TCCCTCAGGTTCTTCTGAGATTTTGTTTTAGTTGTTCAATTAAAGTTTGAACTGAAATTTACTGCACTTTATTATTAGTCATTTTTTTAAGTTTAAGACTGAAGCAGAGTAAACTTCTATAGATGTGCTGCTAAAATTTACGTTATAGTTTACATTTTCATTTAAATTTGGTAGTTGCATGTTGAGAAAAATTTATAAAAATAACTTTTTTTTTGGTTTTGTTTTGCAGTATTTGTTTTGTTAATACATTCAGAGGGAGTGTGGCCTTATAAAAAGAGCCTGTTTGAAATAAAATAAATGGTTTCAAAGGTTATGGTGTGATATATATACCAACTTATCTACTTGTCAGAGTTTGCACTACCTTTTTATTGTCAAACATAATATTTACCCATCAGTTTTTGCATGATAATTGCATTTCATTTTCCTTCTGTTTAATATTCAACAAGTTGAACAAATAATCCACACGAACCCCGTTACTTGGTATCGGTATCGGTATCGGTGAGTACCTAAAATGAAGTACTCGTACTTGTACTCAGTCTTGAAAAAACTGGTATCGGGACACCCCTAGTGTTTATATTAAAAAACTATTATATTAAAAAAACTATATATTAATAGAGCACATTTAATTTGGAGCTGGTTATGCTCCAAAGCATTTAAGTCTTTAGAATCCATAAATAAACTTATAATAAGTGAGAAAGTACAAATTTCAGTCCTTGTCGTGTCTTGGGGGAAATATTTTATGTTGTTTTTCTTTTCAATCCACTGTTTGCCTGACACGGTTTCTCCATTGTGAACCTAGAAACGAACATTTTTCCCATCACAGCCAAAATAAAACACAAAGCTTTTCTTTTCAGTACCTTTTTGCTGTAGCCCTGTCGTTTCTGCCGCGAGCCAACAGAGTAAAGTGCAGGTATGAGGTCCACAGGGCAGTCGGCAAAGTACTCGCAGCAGGTAACAGGAGACTCGTGGATAGTCAGGGGATATGGGTTCTCAAATATGGGGTAACTGTTAAAAAGAAGAAAGAGACACTCAWGGCACGTTTCAATGAAATTATTCTGATTTGTTGCCACGTGCTTGATTACTTGACTACAATACATACAATTATTACAATAAGAAGGAAACATTTGATGTAGTAGTAGCTGAGAGTTCCTCTCAAAACATACACCGAAGGCCAACAGATCATGCAAGTGGCAGCTAATATGCATTCTTTCAAAGAATGCTGTCTATGTAAATTATGAAGCAAATGGGCAGCATTGCCATTTAAATCCAAAGAAAAGACGAAATTCTTACCCATTTTGTGCAAGGTCGATCACCACTAAATCTTTTTCTAGAAGGACCACCACAGCATAAGGCTCCTGAAAATCTGCAATCGGAAATGCACAGAGAAAGGTCATTCCTGAAGTTGAATTAAAGCCATGTCTATAATAATGTAGGACACGTTTTAAACATAGATATTTATTAAAAGGTTAGTATTTTCTTTGGTCACTCATTATGACATGAACAAAAAAATGTGAGCTTTAAAAAAAGCCTGAGAAGTGTGGAAAAAAATCTCAGAAACCTGAATAAAAGAATTTCTTATTCTTTACACATTAAAATTTACAGACTGTAAATTGTTAAAGTGAGAAAGCTTAATAAATATTATAAATTTATATTTGTGACAGCTTTGATTTTTGGAGGAAATTTTCACATTTAACTTTAAGATGAGATCCTTAAAAAAGTAAAAAAAAACTTTTAGGGAATGAACACGATTTCCTCAGAGGCTCAACAATAAAAGTTTTTGTTTTTATGGTCAGTGAGTTAATTTTTTACATGATACTTGTAAAACAGAAATAAAAGTTGAGTTGCTAAACACTTTTAGTGTTTCTTGGATTTGTGACAATTTTCTTCCACGCTAGCAAAGAAGAAGAAACCGCAACAGAACGACGACAATTTAAGCGTGTCCAAACCCTCCCCATCAGCCAGACGTGTATTGTGTAATAATCCAAACCCGGTTATGTCCGTAACCAGATGAAAGCCAGTGACTTAATGAAGTCCTCACTGTTACATAATTTACTAATCCTTCCTAAAACTGTACACATGCCACATTACACAGCAGCTGAGATTACAGACAGGATTACACACATCCTGGACCCCTTGCCGTTCAGCTCCAGTTGGACTTGCTTTAGCTGTCGACTCACCAATGCAGGAAATAAGATAATAATTTAATTCAGATGGAAGCCTATTACACACAGAGGTATGAAATGAAAATGTAACGTGATGTTCTGTGTGTCAGATAATGAAAAACAGGAAGGTAGATTCATTCCTGCTGTGAAATATATCACAAATACGCACCAACACAGGGGGAAGTAATCCAGTATAATTTAAAAAAACAGCAGTGTGTGTGTGTGTGTGTGTGTGTGTGTGTGTGGGAGGGGGGTACAGTCCAGAAGGAGATCAGGACTTATTTAATACAAGTGCCAATTTCAACCAAAATAAATGCACTCTTACCGTTAGGATATGGTGTTTCACATAGAGTGAGAAAGTCTACTATAGGATAATCCATCTCCAGCACAGCGATACTTTTACCATGCATAACAGTCAGACAAGGCCGCCGACCCACCATGTCGTAGGACAGACCCCCGGAGAAAATTATGAACGGGTCCCTGAAATGAGCACAAGTTAAAAAAAAAAAAAGAATTGACTAAATACAAATAAAGATTTCTTCAAAGTAATGGTGGGCACAGTTCTGCTCTTCCGCTAACTGCAGAACTAACATTTTGCGGAGAATTTGTGTTCATTTTATGACGTATTAACGGACATTACCTCTGCTACTAAAAAGAGTGGTGTGAGTAAAGATGTTTTTGAGAGGCAAGTCCAGTTTAATTAATAGCATTTAATCCTTAAAGGGATCCCCGATTAGTTGTAACATTAGACTTTATTTGATGAACATATATTTAACTGTAAAATAAAGACTGTAAAAATATTGCAGGCTGTTTAGTTTTGTAAAGTTTTAAAAATATATTTTAACACAGACGGAGCCATTTTATTTACACACAAAGCATTCTGGGTAAATGATGACGTCAACTAGGTCATCGGTGCGAGGCTGCTAGGCAGCTCTGTTGTCCTCCATCCATATTTTCAGTTACAGGCTGAGTCATTTCTACCTTCTCCTCTCTGTCAACGCTCTCTGGTTTCATTTAAAAGAGTCGATCATCAGATATTGTCCAAGATTAACCTTCAGGGTGGATATAGC